ACACACACAGAGAGAGAGAGAGAGAGAGAGAGAGAGAGAGAGAGAGAGAGAGAGAGAGAGAGAGAGAGAGAGAGAGAGAGAAACATAGAGGTTACAAATCTACACTTTGTCTTTAGATGCGGGTTAGATAAAACTGGCCAGGGAGAAGAACAGGGTCATTGGGCATGACTAGGGTATAGAGAAGACAATGTGGTGGTCTGGAGGTTGTCTCAAGGCCACGGATATTTTTGGTTTGGCTCACGATCTTAAAGCATGAACATCAAGAGTTTCCAATGTTTAAAAAATTTGTAAAAATAAGGTCTGCGAGTGTTCCTGACAAATTGGATGATGTGGCCTCCTGAGACCCATGGGTGAGAGACAGTGGTGAGCTGGAGTGAACTCAGCCTTTTGGACGGGCTAGCACACGCCTGCTTCTCATAGTGCCCAGGGAGCCTCCTCCTCTTATCCTGGGCACACTGCTTGGTCTCTGAAGGTATTTCATTGGCGGCCTTAGATCTAAAAGGAGGATTTTTTGAGCAGAGGATTCCCTAGGGACTTAGAAATGTCATTAGAGACGTGGGAGGAACAGTTAAGAACGGTGTCAGCGGTAGGGAATGGCAGGGCCTAGGGAGTTCCCGAGTGACCAATGCCACTGTCCTGTAAACCATTGCAGACTGGGAAGCATGTTTAGAGTTTGGCTGCTTGGAGATGCCCTCAGCAAAAACATGTGTGGAGGGGCAGGAGAAGAAGAGAGACAGTAACTTCAGAGAGCTGTGCTGCAGAGCTAAGGGCGTGGTTTAGTTGGTCAAATGTTTGCTGAGCAGGCATGAGAACGTGAGTTCCAACTCCACGACCCGTGCATTAAAAAAGGTGGGCATTGGTGGTGCACGCTTGTAATCCCAGCATTGGGGAGGTGAAGGAGACAGGCAGATTTGGGGACTCACTAGCCAGCAGGCCTAGCTGAATTGTTGAGTTCCTTGTTTAATAAGGGACCCTGTCACAAAACATAAGATAGACAGTCATTGAAGAAGATACCCAAGGTTGTTGACCTTGGACCACATATATACACACACATGGAGACACACAGCTACATAGCTGTGCTGCCATGAGGCATTCAGGGAGGCTTTAGTGTATGCATGTGTTTCATATCTGAAGGACTTGAGAACATCTTCATCAGGAGCTATGTGATTGGTGTCACTTAGGACTTTATTTGTCCTTGAGTAACAATTTTTTTTGGGGTGTGGTAGTCCAAAGGACTGAGTCCAGACCCTGGTGAATGCTCGGCCAGCACTCCACCGCTGAGCCACACCTCCAGCCCTTGACTACGTTTTCTAAGGAAGAGTCCAGGCTTAGCGAGGTTTCAGTGGAAGAGGACAGGTGGTTGCTATTAAAACAAAACCCTTCCGGAGACAGGACGGGACGTGGTGCTTTTGTGTTCCTGTGATGCCAGCTCTGCTGTGTCCGATCTGCCCATGGCATCGCTGGTTCACTGTGGTGCGCTTCAAAATACTGTCTTTCATTTTCATCATCTCCAGGTTATGTGAAGCCGTGACCGTGTGGTGATTTATTACCAGCGTCACGAATCTAAACACTGCTTATTTCCATTTATCACGTGCCAGGTAGAGTCTGTGTGATGATTTTATCAACCAGTTTCTCCCTGGCTACAAAATGCCCAGTGTGTTTTCATTGGTTTTATTCCCTATTATTGATTTTTCATTTACTTGTTTGTATTTGTTTTGTAACACACTTGATTCAATGACGTGTGCGTGCGTGCGTGCGTGTGTGTGTGTGTGTATGTGTGTGTGTATGTGTATGTGTGTATGTGCGTGTGTGTAGTATTACAATTGACTTGTCTTTGATGAAGGGAAAATGTGTTTCCCATTGCAGTACCTGATATAAGTAAGTTGTTTTGTTTTTTGTTTGTTTTTTTTCTACTTCAAGTTGTGGCCATAATTTCAAAAGCACATTGGTGGTGGTTTTTTTCTTCTTTTTTTTTCTCTCATTTAACGCAATGGGCAAGAGAACTTTAAAATTTTAACTTGGAATGGCAGCAGCTTATGGCCAACCTGTGTGAAAAGTGCCAGTTAACCAATAATTTTTGTCCATTGATTCAGCAAGTAAATTTTAAGAACCGCCGGGCGGTGGTGGCGCACGCCTTTAATCCCAGCACTCGGGAGGCAGAGCCAGGCGGATCTCTGTGAGTTCGAGGCCAGCCTGGATTACCAAGTGAGTTCCAGGAAAGGCGCAAAGCTACACAGAGAAACCCTGTCTCGAAAAACCAAAAAAAAAAAAAAAAAAAAAAAAAATTTTAAGAACCTATTATGTGTCAGGCCAGGGTGTAGGCACTTGTACTGTGGTGCATACAGGAGACTAAGAACTCTAATAAGCAAGATAAAGAAATAGGAAACACGTGTTTCTAAGTGTATGTATATATATTATAATTTTTGTTTCATTACATTTTTAGTTATTTAGTGTGTGTATGCATGCATTTGACACACACCCGCACATGTGTGCCATGGCTTGTGTGTGGAGACCAGAGGACAACTTGTGGGAATTGGTTCTTTTTTCCACAACATGGGCTCCAGGGATGGAATTCAGGTTTTTATGTTTGGCAGCAGGCACCTTTACCTGTGGAGCCATCGAGCCAGCCTGATTTCTAAGTATATTTTAAGGACTGACAAATGTTAATGATTAAAAATAAGCCAGGGAGAGAAATGGGAGTTTGAGGAGATACTGATGCTTTATTTTATTTTTATTTATTTATCTATTTTTTTTCACTTAATTTTTTTTTTTGTGTGTGTGTGTATATGTGTGTATGGGTGTCTTGCGTGCATGTGCGTCTGTCTATCAGGTATGTGCCTGGTGCCCAAGGACACCAGAAGAGGGCATTGGAACCCCTGGAGCTGGAGTTACAGATAGTTGTGAGCTGCCCTGTGGGTGCTAGGAATGAAACCGGGTCCTCTGGAAGAGCAGCCGGTGCCCTTAACCCTTGGCCATTTCTCCAGCGCTAGGTAGTGAGATTTTAGATAGGATGAGCTGAAGAAGTCTCACCAAGGTCACATCATTGAACTATCGACCTGAAGGAAGTAAGGAAGCAAGCCTAGACTGCAACTGTGACTAGAGCATTCTGGGAAGAGACCAGCTAGTGCAAAGGCCCCGAGGCAGGCAAACACCTCACTGGTGTGAATAAGGATGATCAGGAAGAGGCTTGTGGGTAAAAGCTGGAGGAGCTAAGCAAACAAAGAGAACAGCAGAGGGAACTTTGGCTTTAATTCTAAGATGGGAGCCAATGGAGGTTGACACAAGAGCAGGAAGATGTGACTTACTCATCAGAGTCAAGGAGTTCACAAACCCTTTTTTTGTGCCATGGGCCCTTGTGGCCACCAGAGAAGCCATGGACCATTTTCCGGAACAGTGTTTTAAAACGCGAAACAGAAAATCCACAGGGCGTAAAGGACTCGTGGCCCTACTGAAATGCGTTTATTATCAAAATACTAAAACCAATTTATGATTAAGTCACATATGTGCTTCTTTATGAAATCATTATAGAAGACGTAGGAGTCGGTATGTAATGACTGTGAATTCAAAGTAATTATGAGCCTAAGAGGTATTTCGTGGAGTCCGAAACATCTATCTTTGCAGGCGCCATATTGTTGATGCTACCCCAACCCTGTTTTAATGGAAGGAATCGCTCAGTTTCAGTTGGTGTTAGTAAAAGTCAGGGTACACCCCTTCGAAGATTCCTCTGCAGGCCCATGTGCTGCCTTTTGTGGAGAGAGGAGACTATGAAAAGAGGAATGGATTACTGAAACTAGTTCATGTTTTTGTTCCTGCATGCATTTTTGATGACTCTCCTAGAATTCGCTATTGGCCATCTCAGCTCCCAGGAATTCCTGTGGACTGAGGTGCCCAAGGGCACTTTCCGTTCTAGACATCTAAGGAACAGCACTTATGCCTGGAGATTTTTTTTTTTTGCCATTTCTGACTTGTTTCTTTTTTTTTTTTTTTTTTTTTTGGTTTTTCGAGACAGGGTTTCTCTGTGTAGCTTTGCGCCTTTTCCTGGAACTCGCTCTGTAGACCAGGCTGGCCTCGAACTCACAGAGATCCGCCTGGCTCTGCCTCCCGAGTGCTGGGATTAAAGGCGTGCGCCACCACCGCCCGGCCTGACTTGTTTCTTTTTTTTTTTTTTTGGGTTTTTCGAGACAGGGTTTCTCTGTGTAGCTTTGCGCCTTTCCTGGATCTCGCGCTGTAGACCAGGCTGGCCTCGAACTCACAGAGATCCTGCCTGCCTCTGCCTCCCGAGTGCTGGGATTAAAGGCGTGCGCCACCACCGCCCCCTGACTTGTTTCTTTTTTTTTTATTTTTATTTTTTTTGGTTTTTCGAGACAGGGTTTCTCTGTGTAGCTTTGCGCCTTTCCTGGAACTCACTTGGTAGCTCAGGCTGGCCTCGAACTCACAGAGATCCGCCTGGCTCTGCCTCCCGAGTGCTGGGATTAAAGGCGTGCGCCACCACCGCCCGGCCTGACTTGTTTCTTATGGAACAAGTTTCTTATAAAAATTTCTGGAGGTCTGCATTGTGGACTCCTTGTTTCAAGGGAGTCTGTATGCTACAGGTAACCCAGTTCCTTCTCGCTGGGTCACCCTAGCTCAAGAAAGGGGTGACCCACACAGGGGTGGAGATCTTTGAACATTTTAAGAAGAAAAACTGTGTCAGTGTCTCGAGTTCATGGCTCTGCTGTGGTTCAACCCCATGCTTTCCTGCTCTTCATACCCACCGCAGGATTTCCTCTGCCCTTATTTGGCATAAGCTTCCTCCTCTATTTGGAACTGCCTTCTATCCTGTGTCCTGTGATCACATCTGCTGTACCCCTCAAGGTTTGGCTCCAACGCTCTCACCCCCTCTGAACTGACAGGCACCTACCTTCTACGGCAGTTCCTATTTACCTGTTTTCTTCGTAATTTTCTCCTATGAGCTCCCAGGGCAAGCTCTTCACATTGCCTTTTGCTCTCTGTCTTCCCAGGTAGCCCCTGGGGTCAAGCAGCTTTCAGTGAATTAAGGCAGCTCGAGATTTTGCCTCAGGACACAGGGACACCCCCAGCTGATGATTCCACCACAGGCGAGCCTGTAAGTTCCCTTCCTGCTGTAAATCCCTCTCATGTCTGGGTCTCTTTCCCTTCCTGCTCAACTGCCGACCCAGGCTGCTTGTGCACTTTTATCTTTCCATGTTGATATAACTGTCTCCTAAGTATTTTCTAAGACTTAACACACTTCAAGAAATTTACACAACATTGACAAATGCAGAGTCGAAAGCGAGAGTCACGCGTAATTCTATCACACAGAAAAAATGCACACGTCATGTTGGTGTATGTTATTACAGATCTTTTTTTTTCACTCTATTATCAACTCAGGCATATTTTACAAGCAGGACCATGCCATGCAGTGCATCATCGCCTGACGTTTCAGACCAGGCCTATTGTATTAGTGGTTAGGAGAATGACTTTAGAGCATTGCTTGAGTTCAAATCGCGGAGACATGATGGAGTAGTTGTTGACTCTTGGGCTGGTTTTTTAGCTCTATTGGTAGAGTGACTTCCTAGCAAGCGCCGGCCCTGGGTTCAGTGCTCAGTGTGTGATAAGCCGGGGTATGGTGGTGCATGTCTGGAACATCGACACTCTAGTGCAGGTCAGGAGGATCCGAAGTTGGAAGCTAGACAGTGAGTTTAAAGGCCAGCCTCAACCTTTATGAGACCTTTTTTTCTTTTTTGTTTTTTGAGACAGGGTTTCTCAGTCTAGTTTTGATGCCTGTCCTGGATCTCGCTCTGTAGACCAGGCTGGCCTTGAACTCACAGAGATCCATCTGCCTCCTGAGTTCTGGGATTAAAGGCGTGCGCCGCCCCCGCCGCCCCCGCCGCCGCCGCCGCCGCCGCCGCCGCCGCCGCCGCCACCACCACCCCTCCTCCTTTTTCTTCCTTAAGTAGTCACTGACTCAGTTGTTTCTTGGTTCACCAGTTTCCCCACCTGTAAAACGAATGCAGAAATCCCACTGTTCAGAGGCCGCGTGTCTTGGTGCGCATATGCCTATAATGCCAGTATTTGGGAGGTTGAGGTAGGAACATTATAAGTTCAAGGCCAGACTGGAATTCAGAGTGGGCTGAAGACCAGCCAGGGTTAGATATTGAGATCCTGTTTTAGGAAACTAAGAAGCTGAAACTCAAAACCAAGATAGGAACGTGATAGAGAGTAAATGAGCCCAGAATGGAAGGCCAGCGAGCAGGGCCCACCTGATCCCAGAGGCTGCTGCTCTGCTTCTCCCGGTGAGTTTCACTGGTGCAGAGAGCGCCACTCTGTGGCTACCTCTAGGATGTATAGGGTCTCCCCGTTTGGTGGCTCTTGGTACAAACTTGTGAATAATTAATGATGCATTGGACATCTTCTTGCATGCGTCTTTAAGACTTTTTATAATTTATTTCCTTAGGATACTGTGGAAATGTGAACGGTGGGCCTTGTGGCTACGATGCCCTCAGGAAAGGTTTTCCTAGGACCGGTTTACACACTGCTATCACCTTTGTGTGAAACCGTTCCTCTGCATCCCGAGAAGCCGTTGGCTTTTCCTTCCTCTGTTCATCAGAGCTTCAGCGCAGTCGCTTGTCATTCATATCACGGAAAGGGAGAGAGATAAGGCTGTCCAAGATCTCAGCCCCCCAAAATGGGCCATTTTACCTTCCTGCCTGCAGTGGGAACCTTTTTTTTTTTTTTTTTTTCAGTCACCCTGGGCAAGGTTGATTACATCAAGCTAGGAGAGTTCCTTCCTGGGGCTGGTGGAAGGGTGGCAGTCACGTGGATCACTCCGAGTGACTTGAGAGCCCTGTTAATACTCAGCGGTGACTGACTGGGGTCAGTGACTGTGTGATGCTCTTATCTATGTGGGCATACCTCCCCAGGCAGCTTCTGGCCTGCTTGTCTCTGCTTTTCTGTCACAGGTTGTCTTGGGAAGGTGACTCAGCTGTGTGCCTGCTGCTCTTCTATCCCACAGGGGAGGTTGTCTGGAAACAGAACCCGAGGAGGGGAAGGCGGTGTTTAGTTACACATGCTCCAGGCCTTGGGGACTGATGGAGATGCTCTCATATCTACTCTTTCCAGGTACTCGAGAGAGAAACAGAACTTTGACTGCTCTCTCAAGTACAATTTAGAGACTTCACTTTAGGAAGCACTAACCAGGCTACTCACTGAAAACCAGAACGTCTATAAATTTATTTTTAATCCTTGCATATATTAGAACCTGAGAAGCTTTCATTTTCCTTCTGGGGCTGATTGAAGTTTTAAAAAAAAATCATGTGAATTCAAGGATTTTTTTTTTGTATTAAAGTACTTGTTGAAATTTGATAATTTGCAGGAAGTATGTAGTTCAGGGTTATTAATGGTAATCCACCGTCAGCATCGACTGGAAGGTGTATTCTTCTGATGGCTTTGGATTATAGGATTTAAATATCAGTACAATTCTCCTAGCACAGTAAATCCAATTATGGAAGCCTGATTGTGATATTTTAATATTATTGGAGCAAAACACTGGATGAAAATTCTCATTAGTTAAGCAAGACACAGGCAGGATGGAATTTCATCTTCCATTATTATTCCTATAATTTTGTTACCCTCAGGTTTTATTAAAAATTGGTATGTGAGATTGATGGGTAGTGGCAAGGCCACAAAACTGACATGCATTTGCATTTTTTTCTCCTCCAAGATATTCATTGAGTTTCTACAGGGTGAGAGCTTTGGCCAGGCGTGGGTGTATTCAGTAGGAGCAGTATTATTGCAGAAAGCAGATTATAAACATGAAGCCACACGAATATATGTGCATGGTATGTCGTCTTAGGAAACACAAGACAGATTATCATAGGGAAGAACCTCTATCCTTATACTCAAGTCACGTGACACATACTTTGATAGTTAAGAAAAGGTTAGATTTGCTTTGTGCATGTGTATGTTTGCTATGTGTATGTGCATTCGTGTGTGTGTGTGTGTGTGTGTGTGTGTGTGTGTGTGTATGTGTGTATGCACATGTATACATATATGCTTGAGTGTGGGTGCACGAGCATTTGTATGAATACGTGACAGAGGGTGGAAGCCAATGTTAGATGTTATTCTTAACCATTCACCACCTTATTATTTTTTTAAACATCATTTCTTTATTGGGGAATTTCACATCATGCACTCCAATCCTCCTCATTTTCCCAGTCCCTCCATATCCTCCCTTTACCCCCATAGCATCCCCCACAAAGAAAATAAAAAATTTAATTAAAAGCAAAACCAACCAACCAGACAAACACACTTTACTCCATCTTAACTACCTTTCCTACACCTCTTCACTGTCTTAGCGGCACTGGGAGTTGTGGTGTGTCATGCAGTATACCCTGCTGTTCACTCAGCTTTACTTGCAAATGTTAATTGTGTAATGTATTGTTGATCAGGTTCAAGGCCTCTGGCTTCTGGTACACCATCAATAATGGATCCTCACAGAACTCCTCTCAGACAGCCTGCTGTTGCCCCGAGTTGTGGAGATCCTGTAGCTGTGGTTCCACAGGGCCAGTCCCTTCATGTGCTCCCGAAGGTCAAAGTCCTGGATGTGGGTCTGGGTGATAGCTAATTGGGTCATTCCAGGCTGCTGGGACTGCACCCCCTTCCCAAGTGAGAGGCGGAGCTAGCTCTTCTACAAGTGTGGCATCCATCATAGCCAGCTCTCCTGCTCCTGTGGTGAGGGGTGGGGCCAGCTCTTCAGCTGCAATGGCCAGTGAGGGGCAGGGCTTAGTTTCCAGGGCCATTGAAGGGCAATGCCAGGTCAGCAGGACCCTCAGATTTCAACATGCATGGTTCCTATGGTCCTCCGTAGTAACATGGGCAATGGAGATCGACACAGATGCAGCTGCGCAGGACCACAGGCACACACAGAGCCCTTGGCTGCAGCTCAGGCCAGGATGTCACCATGGCTCTAGTGGCAGTGCTGGCCACCCAGATCAGTATGGCTCCATCAGCAGCAGCATGACCCTGTGACACCAACATGGTCTCAGGTGACTGACCAGACCCGGGTATCCACACAGCCCTCAGTAGTAGCAGGAGCCATGGACATCAGTTCAGATCCTGGTTGTGTTATCACCTTAGTTTTTTGAGATTGGGTCTCTCACGGAACCTGGAACTCACCTATTTGGCTAGGCTGGCTGGCCTGTGATCTCCAGGGATCTGCCTGTCTCTGCCTCCCCATGGCTGGGATTATAGGTATATGTCATTCATGACTGGCTTTTATGTGCATGTTTGGGGTCCAAACCTAGGCCCTCATGCTTGTGTGGCAAGTACTTTACCTACTAAGGCCATCTTCCCAGCCCCTAATGTTGCTCTTATCTTTCCTTATTTTTAAGGTTTTTGTTGACTGACATCATGGTATGAAATGATGTGACTGATTCTAAAGGAATAAGTATTGGAGGACAATCCTTGGATCATGTCCTCAGGGAAGCATCACTGCATGCTCAGCTGCAAACAGGGGTCTGAACCTGTATTTCATTTGCAGAACTCTGGTCTCAACTAGAGATAATTTTGCTTCCTAACCCGAACACTTGACAGGGGCTGAAGACATTTAAAAGAATCTCTTATTGGGTTTTTAAAAACTAATTTATTTATTTATTTGTGTGTGTGTGTGTGTGTGTGTGTGTGTGTGTGTGTGTGTGTGTGTGTACATGCATATGCCATGGTGTGCTTGTGGTCAGAGGACAACTTGTGGGAATTGGTTCTCTCCTTCTTGTGTGGTCGCCAGGAATTGAACTCAGGTCTTTGGCCTTGATGACAAATGCCTTTTGCTACTATAAATATCTTGCCAGCTCTGGAGAGATCTCTGATTGTCATAACCTTGGTACATAGTTGCTGGGGCCTATTGATACCACTAAATACCCCAAAATCTGTGGGGCACTCCCAAAGAAGCAATCACCCTGCCCTGTAGCGCAGCAGTTCCAAGGTGGAGACGTCTACTGTGGAAGTTTGTAAGATCAAGATATCTCCAGGGAAGTTGTCGGGACCAGGAGTAGGTACCATTTCCCAGGTTCTCATCACAGATTGAGGTCAGCTGTGTAACTTCAGAAACTCATTTCCTGGTATCAAAAAACGGATCAAACTTTGCTGGCTAGTTTTATATTAACTTGGCATAAGCTAGAGTCCTCTGAAACGAGGAAAAATGAAAATGCCTCCATAAGATCCAGCTGCGGGGCATTTTCTTAATTAGTGATTGATGGGGGAGGGCCCAGTCCTCTGTGGGTGGTGCCATCTCTGAGCAGGTGGTCCTGGGTTCTTTAAGAAAGCAGGCTGAAAGCCAGACGGTGGTGGTGCATACCTTTAATCCCAGCACTCGGGAGGCAGAGTCAGGCGGATGTGAGTTCAAGGCCAGCCTAGTCTACAGAGCGAGATCCAGGACAAGCACCAAAACTACAGAGAAACCCTGTCTCAAAAAACAAAACAAAACAAACAAACAAACAAAAAAACAAAACAAAAAAAAAGAAAGAAAGCAGTCTGAACAAGCCATGAGGAGCAAGCCAGTAAGCAGCACCCCTCCATGGCCTCTGCATCAGCTCCTGTCTCCAGGTTCCTGCTCTGTTTGAGTTCCTGTCCTGACTTCCTGTAGTGATAGATTATGATGTGGAAGTGTAAGCCAAATAAACCCTCTCCTCTCTGAATTGCTCACAGTCATGATATTTAATCACAGCAACAGAAACCCTAAGACACAGACTTACATCAAAACTCGCAGGAATCTGTAAATAAGCCTCTTTCCACTTTACTAAGTTCTATGCATTGATAAATCACAAGGGTAGAGATGTGTTACTTGTTGGCAAGGTGCCTGGCTCTCTAGTTACGAGGAAGTGCCTCCTTGGAGCCTGGAGTCAGTGCAAGGGAGGTTTTGGGAGTGTTTAAGAATACGGAACCATGCCGGGCGGTGGTGGCGCAAGCCTTTAATCCCAGCACTCGGGAGGCAGAGCCAGGTGGATCTCTGTGAGTTCGAGGCCAGCCTGGTCTCCAAAGCGAGTTCCAGGAAAGGCGCAAAGCTACACAGAGAAACCCTGTCTCGAAAAACCAAAAAAAAAAAAAAAAAAAACCTCTGAGGGCTTGACCTTTGACCTTTGATCTGGCCTTAAGATGCTGACTTAAGATGGGCTGACTGCCCGGGATAAGATGATTTCATTTGCGTTTCCTGTGCTGGGATAGGTCTTGGCAGCCGCTTGGTCCTTCCCAGTTTCCTCCTCTGCCCCTGACCAGCTGCCCTTCATTACCTATATCGATTTTTCCCCCCTCTCATTTACTCTTTAATTTTGTTGGCTTGGGAGAGGGAAATCGGTTTGAACAAAAACTTGTGAAGCACCACTGTATGACAGCGATAATTAATACGAAGATGGCTAGTGGGACCCTGTACCTAAGTGGCAGTGTCCTCCGTCTAGATAACACTTCAGAAGAACGTGGTGTGACAGTGATGGGGACATACAGAATTGTGTGCGGGTACAGAGGACACAGGCCAGGACTGTAATGCCATTAGGAGGAGCTTCTTTGATTTACCCGGTACAATTTTACAGTTTTAAAGATCACCCCATATTGATTGCAAGGGTCAGGGAAGCCGTAGCCATTCCTGTGCACTGTTAGCAATCCATTTCCTTTCCCCCGGCCTCGGTTCCAAGATTGAACGTCAGGTGTCTGGATGATGGAAGCATCTGCTACCTCACTTACTCTTCACCTTTTCCCTCAATGATGGAGGCTGTCATTGTGTACGTTTTTTGAACGCCATGGTGAACTCACCAGGAAAGATAGCCAGGCTGGAGGAACTGGCGAAGATAATTCAGTTATTGCAAAAAGAGGAATTCTGCAGAGAGACGAAGGCCTTGAGGGAGTGTGGTGAGTTTCTGCCAGGATTAAGCTGAATCACAAAGTCAGAAACCTGTTCGGTGCTACACTACTACTGACGATCCCTCTGTTTGAACCGATCAACCCTGACGACCTTGGTAGGCACATGTAGAAACGAACATCGGATGGGGCTGTGAAACAGGAAGAGGAGAACACTTTGGATGTCCACACTTCCTTCTCCTAAGTCTGATGCTTTGGGTGATGTTTGTCTCACGTCCCCCAGTCCTTCCTCAACCTTCCCTGATGATAAAACTAGATAACTTTCATTTTCGCAGTAAGTGAGATGAGCCTTGGTCCTGCAACTTCTTGGGTGTGGAACTGTGGGCAGATAGCATCTTTGGGTCTGGGTATCCCACCTCTGAATTGAGAATAATACCTGGCATACTCCGTGGTTGAAGGTTGCGGAGATGTTTGTAAAAGTCATACAAATGTACCTAGCATGGTGTGGGGGATCCAGAAAATGCTAGTTATCATTTTTTTGTTGGGTTTATTTAGAACACAAATGATCTTGCAGTGGTATGGATTGGTATAAATTCGTAACTACTATTGACTGGTATTATACTTGTTTTGGAAATCAAAGGGTTAATGCGTGCACACGTGTGTGTGTGTGTGTGTGTGTGTGTGTGTGTGTGTGTGTGTGTGTGTGTATGTGTGTGTAGGCAGGAAGACCACTTGGGGTATCATCTGACCAATGCAGTCTACTTCTTTTGAGGCAGAGTCTCTTATTGGCTGGCGGGCCATTGGTCCCCAGGGATCTTCCCATCTCAGCCTGCTGGGACTACAAAGATGTGATGCCACATCCTGCATTTTTATGTGGTCTCTAGAGATCAAACTCAGGTCCTCAGGCTTTTGACGGAAGCGACTTTACCCACTGGGCCATCTTCCTAGTTCCCACCATTCGACAGTGGTCAAGGTGATGGAAAAATCTAGTAAGGCTCAGGAATTTTGAGTTTAGGTGGCAGGGAGGAAGTGGCTGTTTGGGTTGTCATTTATTCATGACACAGCGACTGCAGGCCTCCCTGAGTACAGTTTTGTGTTTAGAGGACACACTTGCGTGTATCCTCACCATGTCTATGTCCCTGGGTCAGCCCTGACCCTTCTGTGCTGAGCCAAAGCAATGAACTTCAGTACTCAGTACTCTTTATTTTCTTCCTTCAGTAATGAGCATAGCGATACCAAAGCTGTTCGGGCTTAATTATCTCCCGGTTAACTTTCTCTTAAAGGATGTTGCAGTTTGAAAGGTATCTGAGAGGAAAGATTAGAGGCACTGTAGCATTTCTGCCTGTGCTCGGGAGGCGAATGTCTAAGGTACTGCTGGGAGGCACTGAAGAGGAGGAGGGAGAGGAAGAATCGGAGACTGAGGGGCCGGAGGAGGACACAGGAGCCTTTAATGTCTGAAATCCTGTTCTTCATCCTTATAAAGAGACTTCTCTGCTTTTCTATCAAGAGTTCCACTCACCTGAGATGTTGAGCTTGCATGGAACCTCATGTCCCTTCTGGATCATTCTCATGACCGTCTGTTAGGAGTGGAAATTTACCCCCACAGAGTGTCAGGATGTGCTCTGTCCCTGTTGGGGCCAACTTGTACACCATGTTCCTCCCTGGCTCTGCCTGCACTGACCCCAGGACATTGTTCAGACATGTTTGTTTTCACATGTTTGCTTGGGTTAGGGCTTGTGAGCTCTTGGGGTGTTGGAGTAGCTGCTGTGTGCTATGTGAGGTCCCAGGGCCTTAGAAGATCTTCAACCACACTGAGTGTTCGCTTAATGACTGGTGTAGCCACAGACACTTCCTGCCTGTCTTCTGTTCAACATCAATATTTTCTTCTTCTCCATCACTACCCCCTCCTCCTTTTGGCTGGTGTTGATTGGAAAACATGAAAAAATAAGTAAAAATAGAGGGATAGATGTTTGAATGCCAGCATGGACCTATAGGAATATGTCAACATGAGGCAAGACTTACTTGGTTGGGATTTTTTTTTTTTTTGCTTTTTTTAACTTGAGAGAGAGAGAGAGAGAGAGAGAGAGAGAGAGAGAGAGAGAGAGAGAGAGAGAGCGCACAGTGTTATCTTTTGTTTGTTTTGACATAAACCTAACCCCCTAGTCCATGCAGGAACATTCTCATGTTTGTGGGGAACTCTGCATTAGGATCCAAAATCATCTCTGATCTGTGACATATAGCAATGTACAAATAAAGAGGAATTGAATTTGGCCAGCCCTTGAAATCTATTGATTTCAAACTGTAGCCGTGGAATTAATTCTATTAGAGCAGTAACCCCTATAAATTTGCCTCCGAAATGGATTGAAGTATATTCATTTCGAACTTTATAGCATATCCTCAATGGATCGGCTAGGAGAATAACTCTCTTATAAGCAGCTGTGTGGGAAGTGAGTGAGACCCAAACTCCAGTGCCCAGTTTATCTAGGATGTTTCACGGCCTGTGACAGATGTGATGCTCCAGATGTTCCGCTGTAGTCAAGTTCTAGGAGTCCTTAGTTTTATCTATGAGTTCAGGGGGAGCGATGGTTCCATCGTGGGAAAAGGCCAGTTCCTCCACCAAAGTTCCATGGGGCTTGAAGGTTTGTGTCTCATCAGGAAAACGTGCCGGGAGCACTGAGTTGGTGATGAAATGTCTTGGTTTTGTTTCCACCTTGGAGTGACAGCTTCCTGGTGCTTTCCTCTGCAGGTGGGCTTGACTTCCCAGCATCTGCTTTGGCTTGTGTGACCAGAGGACCACATTCTTCTCCTTTGAGTCGCTAAATGCCTGTGTGCACCCCATACTCCAGCCAGGGAAGACGGGAGAAGCTTCTTGGATGATGATGGACGTTCCACTGTGCAGGATGAGGGCAGAGTGTGTGACATCGCCACCACGAGGGTGAGTTGTCTTTCTGTATCAGTCTCTTTGACAGTTGTTGTCATCAGAGGAAGAGGAAAGTATTTTACATTATAGTGAAAAAGAGGACATCAACAGATGGGGGCGTTCTTCTCAGGGTAAAATCTGATGGGCAGTTGAAACAAGCAGGGTATAGGCCTGGGAAGGTTAGATCAGCTTGTGGTCATACCACAAGCCAGCTTTAAAAAGTTTTGGAGGTAGCTTAAGGTGCTTGCCTAGCATTCATGGAAGCCCTGGGTTTGATCCCCAGCACAGCATAAAAATCGGGCATGGCGGCACACTCCTGTGCTCCCAGCACTTGAGAACAGAGGCAAGAAGGTGAGAAGTTCAGTTATCCCTGGGTGTTTAGTGAGTCAGACGTCAGTGTGGCCTGGATGAGGCCCTGCCTCAGTGTCTTACATCAGAAAAAAAAAAAAAAAGTGCAAGTTAGTGGGTTATACACATTCCTTCCCCCTTCTCTCCGCTTTTCTTTTTTCTTTTCTTTCTTTCTTTCTTTTTTTTTTTTTTAAACATTTGCAGTTCAGACTTGAAGAAAGTTCACCGCTGCTCTTGCAGTAGGAGTCCTTTTATGTCCAGCTTAACATGGATGCCACAGAACTGGAATTGTCAGCTGTCTGGCTCAGGGCACAGTGTGCCCAGAAGCGCATTTCTCTGGAGCCGTATAATGTTTAAAGCCCAGTGCTTCAGCTCAGATCTCCTACATATAAATCAGAGTGTTGTTTCTCCGCGAACACTGATAAGTCTATCCTTTATCCCCCAAAGTACTGAAGTGCTGTGGAGTCTCTCCCTGTTTAACTGTGGAGAAGTCCTTTCAGTCCCCCAACTGTCCCTTTATTATTATTTTTTTAAAGATTTATTATATATACAGTGTTCTGTCTGCATATATTCCTGCAGGCCAGAAGAGGGCACCGTATCTCATTACAGATGGTTGTGAGCCACCATGTGGTTGCTGGGAATTGAACTCAGGACCTCTGGAAGAACAGTCAGTGCTCTAAACAGCTGAGCCATCTCTCCAACCCTGCCCCTTTACTTGCCTGACTTCACCATTTGGCCATCGGAGGCACTGAATTTTGCCATGCCTGGTCTAGATCTGCTATCACTTTTTTTTTCTTTTTCCGAGAACAGCAATAGCATTTGCTAATTCTTTCAAATAAAAATGAGTGTCTTTTACCAGACAAGGACAGGTCATTAACAAAAGAGCTATAGTGTAGAGAGGACAGATGAATGCTACAGATGGGCTAGACATTCCTTATTTGTGCAGAGTAAGGATCAAGTACAGAAAGCTCGACACTACCGTGTGACAAATGCTGATATAAAGTGGACACAAAGGGCTGTTGAAGTGGAACAGAGCAAGAGTCCGGGAGGAGGGAACTATGAGCTTGACCCAGTACATTCAAATTCTCTAGAACTCCTTCCCTGACGTGTCAGAACTCTACTGTTACAGACGTCTGTATGAGTGTCGGTCCATGCAAGACGGCTCAGGTGGAGAAGTGATTTTCATGTGCAGACTCTAGGTACTAGTGTATGTATATACGTAAACAAGTACACAAGTGGGTACGAGGAAACATGAAGGAAAGAAAACAAGAAAGGCTGAATATTACGGTAATGGGTACAAGTTATGAAAGAGTATGGTAAGCTAATTGTTTTTCTAGGTCTGATTCCATTGTGGAGTTTTTGTTTTCTGGTGGTGGGGATGGTTATAACGTTATTGTCTTCCATATCCGTTTTTAGAAATCAATCCCAAATGCTGTATGAGATTATCTATAAGTATGGTAGTGTATATTTGGAATACCATTAGGGCATTGGAGAGTTAGCTGTCTTTTATAATATCACACATCTAATTGCTACTTGACGTGCCTGTTTACATACATGTGTACTGCAGATATAATACATATGCAAATACAATGCAGATAAATCTATAATGCAACAATATGCATATATGCATTTGATTTGTTAGAACCAAGATCCATACAAAATGTGTAGACTGATTCTGTTTTTTGCTTCTCTTAATGATCTATGTCATATTTTTGTGTGTGTGTGGGTTCCTAGAGTCTCAATTTTGCTACTAGCATGTCACTGAATGTGTTATTCTGAAATCTCTTATTTTATTTTAATTGGGAGTTAAATCTAGACCAGGTTCAATGAAATTTAGGTCTGTGGGACTGTTTATAGACATCCATCAGGAGATGTTTTACCTTGTGTCTCTTGTTACATTGGGCATTGCTAAGGGGACAGACGATGTAACTCTGATCTATGTTAGGAAATATCTCTTTGATTTATTATCTGGCAGTCGTTAATGATCACTGTCTGGGTCTTTAAAAAGTTTCAATAGAAATAGAGTTATATCATTAAATCATTTTGCGCCTTCTTTTCCACCCTCTAGCCCTTCCCAACTATCCTCCCTTGTATCCCTCCCATGTTCCCCCTGCCACCCTTGAGTTGATAACTTCTTTCTCTTTGATTATTATTATATACATATACATATGTGTGTGTGTGCGCGCGCGTGCACGCGCGTGTGTGTATAAGCTCAGATGCACACACACACACAACCTGCTGAGTCCATTTTTATTGTTGGTGTGTATACAGTTTCAAGGCTGACCACTCTGCATTGGACAACCAACAAAGGGCTCATCCCTGGGAGAAGTTAATTCTCCTCTTCCCAGCAGACATTAGTTGCCTGTAGTTCTTTGTCTAGGGAAAGGATCCCATAAAATTCCCCTTGTCCATGTTAACAAGTCCACTGATATTGCCATTGTTCCAGTCCTTCTTATGCAGCCATTTCTAGGAGAGGCTTTTCCACAGCAGCCCTCCTGGTGTTCTGGCTCTTACAGTCTTTCCACCCCATCTTCCACAACGTTCCCCCAGCCATAGATGTAGGAGTGTGGTGTATTAGGACTGGGATCCCCATGATGTGCATCTTTTCATTGTCTCTAGCAGTGGTTTCCTGTGATGGTCTCCAGTTGCTGTAAAGAGAGGCTCCCTTGATGAGGGGTAGCAGCCACACTTACCTTTGGGTCTAAGGATAAAGATAAGATTATTGGACCAACAGAATTCCTAGGTCTTTCATTATAAGGTACTGACCAATAAGACCTATCAATTCTTCATTCATTAGGTGAAACTTATTAAAAGCAGTTTTACTGAAATATATTTCATATAACAAAATTTGCTCTTTAAAAAGTATAGTTCTGTTTTTACTATATTCAAAAGGTTGTATAGCTCTCTTATTCTAAAATATTCTTATCACTCCTAAAAGAAATCTATACCCATTAGCAATGCCAGTTCTCTTCCCTCCTTTCAGCCCCAAGTGACCACCAATGCACTTTCTGTTTGTATATGTTTATTTGGTGGGGGATATTTCATGTATGGTGATGCAATGTATCATGGCATGTCTATGGACAGTGGCCTATATACATGGCAGTATGATTTACTGTCCTGACTGATTTATGTATATAAACCAGTCCTCCGTTCTTGAGGTAAGCCTGAATAGTCAAAGTATAGAATCCTTTTTATATGTTGTGTTGGCTAGTTTTATGTTAACTTGACATAAGCTAGAGTCATCAGAGAGAAAGGAGCCTCAGTGGAGAAAATACCTCCATAAGATTGGGCTGTAAGCAAGCCTGTAAGGCATTAGTGATTGACATGGGAGGGCTCAGCCTATTGTGGGTGGTGCCATCCCGGGCTGGTGATCCTGGGTTCTATAAGAAAGCAGGCTGAGCAAGCCACAACGAGCAAGGCAGTAAGCAGCATCCCTTCATGGCCTCTGCATCATCAGTTCCTGCCTCCAAGTTCCTGCCCTCATACTGCATTTGACATGAACTGTTATAAGACCTGTGAGTGAAATTAACCCTTTCTGCTGCAAGTTGCTTTGGGTCATAGTGTTTCATCACAACAGTATAACCCTAACTAAGACATGTTAGTGGAGTTGGTTTGATAGTGATTTGCTCATTATGGGTGCATCTGTATTCGTAGGGACAATGGTCTTGACTTTCCTTCTTGTGTCTATTTGTAGGTTTGGTATGAAAGGAATGCTGGTTTCATAGAATTGGGAGGGGCATCTTCCTCTTCATGGTTTTGGAAAGATTTGTGATCTGTGAAGGATCTGTGCTAAGGAGTGATGGGACTAGCTGTGGATGCTTGACTTTTCCCTGCAAATTAAGTATCTTGCAAGTTCATTTAGATTCTCTTTCTCATCTTGAGTTATATTCTGTAAGTTGTGTATTTCTAGCAATTTAACTGCTTTATCTAGGTTATAGGTTATCTAATGTGGGCGTACAAATTTGTTCACAGAATGCTCTTACAGTTCTTCCCACTTCTGTGAGGTCAGTACTGACATACCCTCTTCCGCTGCTGATTTTGCTAATTGGGATTTTCTTCCATTCCTTCTTGGTTAATGTGGCTAAAGATTGATCAGTTTTATTGATTTTTTTAAAAAAATGTCCAGTTTTCGGCCTTCTGAATTTTCTGTGTTCATATTCTTATTTTCTGTTTCATTCATTTTAAGTGTGATCATCTTTTTCTTACTTAAGTTAAATTTGGTCCTGACCTTCCTCTTTTCCTGGTTTTAAGGGAGAGAATTCTTAATTTAAGACCTTCTTTCTTTAAAAATAGGTGTATAAATCTATATGTTTTTCCTAGTTACTGTTTTATAGAACCCTGTAAAGTTTGTTGAATTTTTGTCTTTGTTTATTGCATTAAAAAAATTTCCCCTTTGACTCTGGGTCCTTGAGAAGGGTTGTTTAGTTTCCACACTGAAAAATTACTCCCAGATTTTCTTTTGTTGTTGATGTATATTTTATTCCATTGTGGTTGGTGTACTTTACAACTTAAATCATTTTTATTTTGTTGTGTTGTTTGTTTGCTTTTTTTTTTTTGGCTGTAATTTAAATCTCCAATGTCTCCAAAGGACGGGGTATGTTCGACAGAGGCTGGGTCCTTGGTTATGGCACCACTGAGAGGTGATGTAATTGTTAAGAAGTGATATA